TTTTGATTAAGTCCAATTTCTTTTATGGATTATGCTTTGGTGTTATACCTAAGAAATCTTTGCTTTGCTCAAGGTCACAAAGCTTTCTCTATTTTCTTTTTAGAAGTTTAATAGTTTTACATTTTACAGTTTAGGTCTTTGATCCGTTTCCAGCTAATTTCTGTATGTGATGCAAGACAGGGATCACAATTCATTTTTTTTTTTTTTTTTTTTTGGCACATGGGTATCTAATTGTTCCAGTATCATTTATTGAACAGACTCTCCTTTTTCCACTGATCTGACTTTGCACTCTTCTCAAACACCAGTTATCTATACACACATGAGTATATTTCGGATTCTCTATTCTGTTCCACTGATCTATATGTCTGTCTTTATGTCAATACCTCACATTGTCTTGAGTACCGTAGCTTTAAAATAAGCTTTGAAAGCAGGGAGTGTCAGTCCTCCAACTTTGGTTTTCTTTTAAAATAGTTTTGGCTATTTAAATTCTTTGCATTTTTATTGGTCCATTCCTACAAAAAAAGCTTGCTGAATTTTTGGTTGGTGTTGAATTAACATATTTAGCAAGCACTAATAATTTCACAACATTAAGTCTTCTAGTCCACAAATACAGTGTATGTCTTCCCTTACTTAGGTCTCCTTTAATTTCCCTCATGAATGTTTTGCAGTGTATATAACTTGTATAGGGCACAGGTCTTTCACATCTTTTGTCATAGTTATCCTTAAATATTTAAAATATTTAATATATTTTGATGCTAGTGTAAATAATATTACTTTTTGAATTTCAATTGGATTGTTTGTTGGTAATACATACAACTGATTTTTAAATTTTGATCTTAAACCCTGAAACCTTGATAAAACTTACTCATTAATTCTACTAGTTTTGCTGAGGATACCATAGAGTTTTCTACATAGATGCTCATGTAATCTGTGAATAAAGACAGTATTATTTACTCCCCTCTAAATCTAGAGGCATTTTATTTCTTTTTCTTGCCATATTACACTGGTTAGAACCTCTGGTACAATACTGAATAGAAGTGTGGAGAGCAGACGTTCTTGCAAAGACATGCTAAAAACCAAGCTCATCCTTCTGTTTATCTCCATTAAAGAAAAAATTTCAGTAGCTACTGGAAGAACAAAATATAAATGGATGATGAGATGCGGGGAAATAGTCAAGCAGTATCTTTAAGTGCTACAGAAAGAAAAAATTAGCCACCCACTGAGCATAACAAAATAGTGGAAAAGTTGATAATAAAAAAAAAATAAAAAAAAATAAAAAAGAAGAAGAAGAAGGTAGCGGGAGGGGAGGAATGAAGCGGGGGAAATCGGAGGGGTGGACGAACCATGAGAGACGATGGACTCTGAAAAACAAACTGAGGGTTCTAGAGGAGAGGGGGGTGGGAGGATGGGTTGGCCTGGTGGTGGGTATTGAGGAGGGCACGTTCTGCATGGAGCACTGGGTGTTATGCACGAGCAATGAATCATGGAACTCTTCATCTAGAACTAATGATGTAATGTATGGGGATTAACATAAGAATAAAAAAAAAATAAAAAAAAATAAAAAAAAAGTTGATAATAGACATTATCTGATAAGACCATGGAGTCAGAACTTAATTGAACAGAGCAGGAAAAGTCCTTCATTTAATGGACTGTTCCAACACTGTATTTTTTTTTTTTTTTTTTTAAAGCCTGGCCCAACAGTGTTCTCATAAGACTTTAATTAGCACTTACTAAGCTATTCTAACACTGAGGGACCAAAAGTAAATTTGCAACTTTTATAAGAAATACTTAAAATATTTCATGCAAATTTTAAAGATAGTATTTAGATGAGAAATTCAGCAATTTCATAAACAATGAGAAATCCCAAAGTGAAAACCATTCTCTCAATGAAATCTTCACTCATCTATTAATTATGAAGTGTAATGAGGACTTTTCACTACTTATCTTAGTTAATTTCTCCACAGTGCTTTAAAATAATGACTACTTCTACAGTCTTTGATGCTTTTCCTGTCCACTGGCTCCCAGAGCATTAGCCAATCTTGGCTCTCCTGCTGATTTTTAGATTACTTCTCTTTGATCTCCTTCCTTGATCCCAGGGCTCTGTCTTTAGCTATCCTCTTTGTGACTTACTTCATTAACATATTTAAAGAGTTAAAGCTCTATTTACTTGATGGGGACTCTCAAATTTATATCCCAATCCATGATCCCCTTTATCTGATGACACCTGGGAGTCATGGATGACATAGTCCTTTCTCTCAACCCTACTCATCTAATAACTAACTAAATCCTGGGCTTTATGCTGAAATAAGTCCTTTTTTTCTCCAAACCCCACTGATATAATCAGGCTTTGCTGTTGTTTGCCTAGACCCAAAGTTGACCAACTTTTGCAAAAGACCCTGTAGTAAATATTTTAGGCTTCTTATGTTAACTTTATAAGAAAATGTCATGAGGCAGGCCTGAAGGAACAGTGCTACATACACTGGAGGCAGGACAATATGGACACTGACTAGGAGGGAGCTGTGTCCTTTCAGAGAAAAGGTGGTGGTGGCATGAACTAGAGGCAGTGGGACTAACAGCACTGGCATAGACTGGGACAACAGCAAGCACACAGAACTGACGTAATATGAAGTTTCCCTGGTTCCTGGCTTAGGCACCTAACAGGCTGTGGTCCCATTTACTAAGATAGGAGATATAAACAGAAGTCCGGGAGTAAGTCAGGGAGGAGGGCATGAGCAGTTCTGATTTTAAAATGCTGAACTTCAGGGGCCTGTAAGACCTCTAAGTGAAGTATCTAATCAATAGCTCAACATGCATGTTTAAGCAGAGGAATGATGATGATCACGTTGACAGTGGTAGCATTTACTGAGCTTTTATTATAGGTCAGGTAATGTTTTAAGCATTTTACACAAATTAACTACTAATTTGATCCTTCCAATAACCTTAGAAGGTGGGCACTATTATTATCCCTATTTTATAGAAGATGAAATTAACACACAGAGAGGTTCTATAACTTGCCTGAGAAGATAAACTGGTAGTTGGTAGAGCTGGGATTAGTAATTCATTCCCTGAGTCTTGGGCCCATGCTTTAAACATTAGGCTTCACTGCTTCCCCTGACATGTATTTGGGACTTGCATATAATTTCGAGGGTTGTTGAAGACACAGGAATGAAAGAAGGTACAGAATGAAAGAAAAGGATGAGGGCTTGGGAAAACTTTCAAAGGATGAGCAGAGAGAGGGCACAGCACAGGGGACTGAGAGGGAGCAGTTAGAAGTGGGAGAGAATTCAGCAAGGTAAGTTTCAAGGAAGCCAAGACAAAGTGTTTCAAGGAAAAGGGACCATCTGTGATTAAGGCTGCAGGGAAAACAGGATAAAGTTGACCAGTGGTTTTGCTCTGAGTAGCTTTAGCTGTCAGAGTGGGATTTGAACCAGATGGGAGTAATTTAAGGTGTATAAAAAATGGAGACCATGAACATAGAATGTAGATCACACTAAAAAACTTTGGTTGTTAAAGGGAAGAGAGGTAAATGGAGGCTTTAGCATGTATAAGGTTGATGAGTTAGATCCAGAAAAATGGAGAGGAGAAAGATAAAAATTGCTGAAGAGAAAGTCCTGAGGAAATGGAAATACATTGTGTAGTTGTGAGTGGAGGCTCTGTAATTAAAATGTTTAGATTCAAATCCAGACTGCTACTTATTGGTTGCTAACCTTGGAAAAGTTATTTAATCTCTCGAAGCACCAATTTCTTCACCTGCAAAATGGGCATAATACTACTATCTCCTTCATAGATATAAGGCTTAAATAAGACAATGCATGGGAAAAGCTGGAATACAGTAAGTGCTTAGAAAACATTAGCTATTATTACAATGGGATCTGGACCACAGGTAGAGGGGCTGCTCTTCATTAAGAAGAAACACATTGTTTTATGACAGAAAAGGAGGCAATGATAGGAACTGATGGCAGGTAAGTTTGGGGTGGGAGGGAGAAGACAGGCAGCTTTTTACTGATGTTTTCAATGTTCTTGGTTAAGAACAAGACCGGGCCAACCACTGGAATGAGGAGCTGCTAGTAGGACAAGGCTTGAGGAGAACAGAGAGCCTCGCTGGGACACTGTCCAGCGAAATACCAGGGGCCCCTTAGCAGCGAAAGCTCCATAAGTCTGCTTAGAAGCCCAAAATCACATGGATCTAAGACTTCTCCATCCGTGCCCAGCAACCCAGATACAGGAGTGAAGAAAGCAGTGATGAAATTATGATCAGGTTTTGATGGGCAAGTGTGATGAAAGAGTAAGAGATCGTAAGTTATTTTAGGCATTAACAGCAGTGACTGAAGTGATAGAACGTGGGTTTTAGGCTATATAGGGAAGGAAATTAAGACCAAAAAAAAAAAAAAAAGAGATGATATTTTCAGAAAAAGCAAAAGGACCAAAGGAGTGCATGTTTTGATGAAGTCAAAATGTAGGATTAGATATTAGGGATATTAAAAGAGCAAGATAGCTATATTCTAGCTCTCACAAATCTTGCAGGCTAGCCTAAGGTAGAAAATTAAACAAGTAATTAGAATTAAAAACATCACAATGATAGAGACTAAAATCTTAAGGGGGTACAATGCAAGAGTACCTACTGGTTGCAGAATTGGTCAGAGAAGGTTTTCTATGGAAAGTAATTGTTAAACAGAGATCTGAAGGACAAACAGAAGTTAGCCACGAGCAGAGGAAGTAAAGTATATTCTGTATTAAGAGCATGAGCAAAGCCCAAACAAACACAGACCATGAAGAGGCAAGGACCGAGAGGCTTATAAGAGTTGCCTACAAAGATACTGGAGTTTACATGGGACCAAAACATTAGGATCACAACTCATTATCACTTAAAAGGAACAGTAAACAAAGAAATCAACAGGCACAGTGCTGACAGTAAGAATCAAGATCTTGATATATAGCTTAATATGCTGGCATGCAGTGCACTTAAATTCAAGATTTAGCTAAAAAGAAACACACTGTACCTTTGAACGAAATGTTGGATGAACGAAATAAACAGCCTTCAAATTCCTCTTGTATCTGATTCGAAATAAAAACAAGGGTCAGTATGTCATGCTATGGACAATTAACTCTTTGCTGGAGTACAGAAATATATTCACAAAGAAAAAAATTTAAAAATTGCTCTAGTTCACTTATTGAATTTTAGGTGAAATGTCAAAAAATTATTTGTTTTATAGAAGATATTATTTCTCTTGGCTGTGACAGAGCCACCTACAGGTAGAACAAAGTAAATTCATATTTAACAAACATTGTGTACTATTTTTTTATATTGCACTAGAATCTCTGGGACCAGGTTATGAATTAACACACTCATGGGTCACTGGGTCAAATGAAATAATATTTATAAACGTATTTTGAGTAAGAGTAACACATCTTATTAATAGAAGGTGGCATTTTTGTTATTTTATATACAAAGATTGGTAATGATCCCAACCCTTTTTCAAGATGTTTAAAAGCAGGACAAAGTTTACATATGAATTAACTTAGATGCAAAATACTCTGGAGTTAAAGAGGGCCACCTCATATTAAAATATCTTATCTATATATGATAAAATTCTATGTTATATGAAATATGTTTCTGCAGAATATGCAGCAATATTTGTTTACTGATTAATTTTAGGAAAGAAAGAAGCTCTCTCCCCTCTTCATAATTTGCAAAAATAACTAACTTGACATCAACAACATCATAGAGTTTCTTCAGGAAGTCAGAGTCCAGGTGATTGTATTCGCTGGTCAGTGTGTGAAAATATACTAATACATATTCCTTCACAGCAATGTGATCCATTACGTGGATAAAATATAAGAGAGCCTAGAAAAAAAAGAGAAGTAAAAGTAAGATTATCTTGCACAGTGGTGTATTTCACAGAAGCCAAGAGCGAGGCAAAACCCAGAAGATTAGTCTAATCGATGCCCCTGGCACTGCAGATGGACATCTCAGACTAATGAGTAGTATCAATTTTCTTTAAAAGAGCTTCAGGAAAGTGAACCATGCCAGTGTATAGTAATTCTCAGAAATGCTACAGTAGGATCCCTTTTTGCCTTATTCTAAGTGGTGGGGGAAAACAATCAGTCTCTGTCCTCTCAAAAAACTCTTCATATACTCAAAAGAGTTCTTCAGTCAGCTGCCAGGTTTTTCCTCTCTAGGATAACGATATCAATATCATTAGAAGTACAATTTGTAGACTTCTGAAATTTCTTGAGGTTTCTGCTTGAACTCAATGAAAATCTTTGCAGTCTCTACTGGGATACAGACTTAGGGCTCTCACGTAACCAAGAATTACTATACGAGGACATCACGAGTGATGCCTCCCACCCATGGCTCACTTTGAGGACTAATTTTCTTGGCATCTTTAATGTTGACCTGAATGAGAAAAATGAGAACAAGTTTAGTCAGTGGATGGCAATGGACTAGCATTTCTAAGGCTCTGAAAGACTCAAATTTAATGTGACCCAGATCACATTTGAGAAATATTAGAGAAATATTCCATCACAGGAAAGATGAAATTTAAGAGAAACATTAAACACAAAGCAGAGATACAATACGGGCAGGGCCAGGATGACCCAGTGGTGTACTATAAATAATGACATAGAGGAAGCTAAGAGTTAACAAATGAAAGATTATTATCAAACAGGCGATTTCCCAATTCTCCTCAGGAGAGTCCTTGGCATTAACATGAGTGGACTAGATGGATTAGCATCCAACTGCTACCAGAGCTGACAGAGGAGGGCACTGAAACACAGTATCTTTCCAGTTTGTTGGTTTGGACCTCACAATATATCTCATTGTATTATATGAAATGATACATCATGGATATCCAAAACACCAAGCAAGTGCACACCAAAATCAAAGGCAGAGATTTATGTTTTTATTTGTATCAATCACATTATTAATGATGAGAATGAATGTCATACTGATTGTTAATAACACAAAACAAATGACTACAAGTAGAAACTTACCAATGATATCATTTGCATCAGTTGAGTTTTTCCTGTGTGTGTGTGTATTTTATTAATATTTCTGGTTTTACCAGAATGCTTTTGGTCCTCTTTATATCTACCCTCCACTCCCTCTCCAGGACAATTAAGATACTCATTTTCAGCTTTAAATTCCCCATCTTTAACTTCAATTTTTTTCATTATAAGGAAGTATAGCCACATGACAGAAAAATGTAGAAAACAAATTCTCCCTAAAACCATGAAATCCATTTTAAATTTCAACGTTTTGAGTTTTTACCTTTATGCTTAAAACAAAGTAAGTTAAGGTCAGTGTATAGGCAACTTAATGTATCACTTTTTCTCCTACTGATATTATAAATATTTCTCTATAGTATTTGCCTTTGGAACCATAATTTTTAAGGGTTACAAAACATTCCATTTGTGGATACACCATAATTACCTGTTAGGAATTTAAGTTCCAATTCTGTACTACAAATGAGCCTGTGGTAACATGCCACGTCCAATGCTTCCACAATTTTTTTTTACCTGAACACCAGTGACCAGGAAACTAAGGGCTTAGCCAGAAGCAATTATCTGCTTTTGTATAACTCTGTTTTATCTTTAAAAATGGGTGCAATTTTTACATTTTTAAGCACATAATTTGTTACTATGGTTAAGAATGATGTATTAGTTAAAAGTGATTCTCCTCTCTTGCAGTCAGTTTCTAATAAAACTGATGTTCTAGGACAATTTACATATTTATCTTTTAGATTCAATGGTCCCTTGCCCAAGTATTCCAACTTGGGCAGTTTCAGGGTCGATAGCTACTTCCATACTCCAGATTATTTCCTTAGTACAAATTCTCAGAACAGAATTCCTGGGTCAACGGTGTGACCACTTTTATCATTTTAAAGATTTTATTTATTTATTCATGACAGAGAGAGAGAGAGAGAGAGAGAGAGAGAGAGAGGCAGAGGGAGAAGCAGGCTCCCCGCAGAGCAGGGAGCCCGATGCGGGACTCGATCGCGGGACCCTGGGATCATGACCTGAGCCGAAGGCAGACGCTTAACCATCTGAGCCACCCAGGCGTCCCACTTTTATCATTTTAATTCATCTTTGATGACAATGATTATTATTTAAAAGTTCTGGCTAGTTTTGAAGGCAACAAAAGGTTTGTCATTCTGATTCACTTTTTTGAGGGGAGATTACTAATCATTTTTAAAAGCAGAATCATTTTGTTTTTTTTCCTTATTTTTTTTTTTTTGGCCAACAATACCATTTTTTCTTTTATGAATCAGCTATTTCTGTCCTTTGTCTCCAAATGAAGGGATCATGGCATTATGACATCTTGGGTTAGCTACATCTCTGATTTCATCTCTTCAGATAGATATTCAAGAGTTAATTTTTCTTTTTTCAAGAAAAGCAGTATTTGATTGTTAGTACAATTATAACCCAGAGTGATTCCAACCCAAAACTTGCCAGTTGCGTCATATCCGAAACAGAGCAGCTGCATTTTTGGTCACATTATGGCATTCTAGTATTTTTGTTTCTCCTACAGAACAAAACCAAACCCCTAGCTTACTGAAATAGTATGTGCCAACATGCAGAGCCAGAGCCATTCTTCTGCCCAGATACACACAATTCTGCCCCATTTCCTTTTCTAAGTTCTGATTCCAAATTTATATCCTACTAATCATAAAAATCAACATTATGTGTAAAACAGAGCCTTTTTACGGCTTACCTTGTCCATGTCTATTAATGTGACAGGAATGTTTCTTCCAACTACCACCATCACTGTGCGACCACAGTTATCAACACCTGCGAACAGGAAATGTGATCAGCGCCCAGAGACTTTATTCCAAGACTGGACTCTAACGTTATAAAAATATTCTATACAAATATAAAAGACTGCATAACAAGAACTTACGTTTTTTAAATTTCATCTTCAGATGTCTTTCACTATGTGGAAAACAATACTTTTTTTTTCTTTAGCTTCATGAGGTTTTGATGACTGCCCTTACTTTTAAGATAAGGCTTCTTACAGGTTTTAAATCAGGGACAGCCAAAGTTAAGGCTGCAGGGCATAAACCTTTTTATAAATAGCTTTTCGTTTAAGTTCACTCCAACTTTTAATAACATTAGTGATCCAGGAAAAACTACTTGGAACTCAACTCTGAAAATAAACAAGTACTGTCTGAAAAAGAAATTTAATGCAGAAAAGAATGGAAATCTGAGAACTTTCACCATCTCCATCATATATTTATGTAAGGTTTGAATTTTGTATAGCAAGTGGGTGACATTTTTAAAAGCAGAAAAAAATGTTAAAAAAGGTAAGAAAAAGGACATTAAGAAGAAATAAAGTTGGCCAATGTAGAACTACAAGATGAAAATTTGTAGGTTGAGATGTTATTTTTACGATCGTGATGATGAGCAAAAACTATCCCCATTAGTACAAAAACATTTTTTTCATAGATAAAATGAACAAAATCAGAGAAAAATGAAGTTTCTAACAGCATGCTAGGGAGGGTCCTTAATTAGTAAAAGTTGCTATGTCCTTAAGCTCACCTGTTTGGTATAAGGCTTTTAGAGAAGCAATATCAGATAGATCCTCAGATCTTGCTTGACATAACCAGCGATTATAACTAGAGAAATAAAGGACATAATTATTATAGTAACTCCTTGTAAATTAAATTTACAAATGGAATCTGTTTCTATCTTTCCCTAAAGAATGAGATTTTATTGTAATGTGCAAGGAGTTAAGGAGGTCATTATATTATGCAGAATCTCCACTAATGTGTTATTGATAAAATAAACATGAATGAGTTACTGAGTAACTAAGAGAGGAAGGTGTTCATACTAAATGATTAAAAAAAAATCCTTTATGATCAAGTGAAGACTACTCATATTAATGGCAAAGATACCAAGTACTCCAATGAACAGTTTCCAATATTATCTTCCTTTACTAAAAAACATGCAAAGAGAGAAATCCTAAAGCAAAAGCAGTTATCTAGAAGAGATGTTCACTCATCCAACAATGACTTGGTATTGAGAATCCTACAGTGAACAGACATGGTCAGTGCCCTCAAGGGGTTTACTTTTTATAACAAAAACAGGTAAGTGTTGAACATGTTATGTAAACCACAAAGGAAATAGGTAATTTTATGCGGGAAGTCCAGGCTTATTTAATGATTAATCAAGTCAGTTGCACTGATAACGCATATAGCGGATCCTAGGGACTACAGCTGGACTTTAGCTAAGAAGGCATTAAAACTGGAAGAGAGGACGTCTGGGTGGTTCAGTCATTAAGCATCTGCCTTTGGCTCAGGTCATGATCCTAAGGTTCTGGGATCGAGTCCCACATCGGGCTCCCTGCTTGGCGGGAAGCCTGCTTCTCCCTCTCCCACTCCCCCTGCTTGTGTTCCCTTTCTTGCTGTGTCTCTCTCTGTCAAATAAATAAATAAAATTAAAAAAAAAAAACAAAACAAAAACTGGAAGAGACATTAAAGATCTCAAAGAGGGTAAATGACCTGCAAAAGGTTGAGCTAATCTTAGTTACCAGCCAGTTATTGGTGGAGCTGAATTTGAAGCTGTACTCAGATCTCCAGATTTCTGAAAAGGTCAGTATTTTCTGCTATTTCATACCACTTTCTTAGAATTCAAAGGGCCACTTATTTGCAAAAAAAAGCTTTCAAGGCACTGAAATCCATGAAAAGCAACTTTGAAGCATCTAGGTCACATAGGGCAACATACCATAACATAAGGAAAACTAAACCAGGAGAGAGGGAGACTTGGTTTCTAATCCTATCACTTTCTGTGCAACCTTAGTAAATAAAGCTATTTCACCTCTATGGACCTGTTTCCTCATCTGCTAAGTGGTGTTTATGTAGAACATTTTTCAGCTATAAAGTACAATCACATAGCTAAGGATATTTAATAGGAAGCCTATTACATTTGGATTGTAATGAGTAAGTGATGATAAAGCCTGCTAGTATCACAGAAATTGTTACTGCCTGTGAAAAAAACACTTGGTATCACATAGTTCCACAGTTTCCCTTTTTAAATTTGGAACCTTGGGGCACCTGGGTGGCTCAGTCTGTTAAAGAGTCCGACTCTTGATTTCAGCTCAGATCATGATCTCAGGGTCTTGAGATCAAGCCCCAAGTTGGGCTCTGTGCTGGGCATGGAGCCTGCTTAGGATTCTCTCTCTCCCCCTTGCCCTCTACCCTTCCCTACTTCTCTAATAAAAAAAAAAAAAAAAGGAAACTTGCCCACCTATGTAAACTGAAAAGTCAAAGAGAAACAGCTTTAAATTTTGATTTAAGACACAACTTGCAAGTCAAGAGAAGACCTATGTTTATGGTAGTTCTCCTTATCTATATGTTGCGTTCCATATTTTTACACAGAGTCAATTCCTTGGTTATTCACACTAAATCCCCAATCGTACTGTTTTCTAATTATCTTATGATTGAATCATCTTCACAACAAGACTGAACAGAATGCATCTTAAGTGGCTTATAAGCATCACAGGTCCTAGCACAAATCATGTAACAGGAATTCAGTAAATGTCTGTTAATTTCTATACTCCATTCTTGAATTCACTAGCTCATTTTTCAAGGATGTACTGTGTTCATGCAAGTGCCTGCATCATAGTACGGACTCAAATCTTTGTTTAATGAAATAATAAACATGAGTATTATTCAAGATATTTTGCAGGGCATCTGAGAATAATAAAAGGTCCCTGGCTTCAGAGTTTAAAGTTGAACATATCAGTAGATACATAAAGAATTAACTCTGTGGTAAAACAAAATGAAACAAGCAATCCAGCAGAGGTCTAAATATTCTATCAATATGCTGAGAGGAGGACTGGGAGGGGTAGGGTTGGGAGGGCAGAGTGAGGGGGAGTGGAGTGGAGGCAAGGTCCAGATATGGAGAACTAACTGCTCCTCCTTTGCACCATAAAGATTTGCACAAGGCTTCACCCACTTACGGCCAGTGTTTGTTTCTACTCTTAGACAACAAGATAGGGAATACATCTTATTTGTCTCTATATGTCCAGGCAATCTCTAGGGTTGCTGCTGACGCTGAGTAACAATGTGTTCAATAAACTCTGAAAAAATTTTTTTTCGAACTGAATTCAGGTGCACAAAACAGAATTAACCTTGGTTCAAAATACGCTCATCATGGGTACACACATGGTTTTCTTTAAAAACTAGTTATCTAGGGGCGCCTGGGTGGCTTAGTCAGTTAAGCATCCGACTCCTGATTTCTACTCAGGTCATGATCTCAGGGTCGTGAGATTGAGTCGGAATCCCGTTCCACCCTCAGCAGGGAGTCTGCTTAAGATTCTGTCTCTCCCTCTGCCCCTCCCCCTGCTCTTGGGCACACTCCCTCCCTCTCTCTAAAATAAATAAATAAATCTGCAAAATGTTTAAAAAACTGGGTACCTAATTAGTTATTTTTATTGAAATAATAAGCATTCTGAAACTTACTGCCCTAAACAAAAGCTACCACCCTCGCAAAAATCTCTCTCTAATCACGCGGTCATTCCCCTTTAATTCCAGCCCCTGCCCCCATTACCAGTCTCTGGAATTGCCCATCCATCATCTTCTTGTTTCCTTTTTATATCCTTTTGGTTCATCTGATGTATTCCTAAAATGTTTTTTTGAAAAAGCTTATTATACTGTATGTAATCTTTTGGGTCTTACTTGTTTGACTTACTAGACTGCTAAGATCCATCTATACCATTGTGTGGCAATGTTGTTCCTTCACCTTGACAACTATATGATGTATCTGTACCATATGAAAACTATAGTTTTTTTAATCCACTCTCTTACTGGTGGGCACTTGGACTGTTCCCAGGTTTTTGCTCCTGTGCATAGTGCTATGATCAACTTATTTAACATATTTCCTGGTATATGTGTGCCTGACTTCTTCAAGTGCTAGGTTATAGGTATATTCAGTTTTAGGAGATAAGACCAGACCTCTTTTCCAAAGTGCTGTACCCATTTATACTTCTACAAGCAATGAATATGAGATCCTGTGAATCCATGTCCTCAACACTTGGTATCAGCAGATGTTTTAACTTTTGCTAATCAGGTTTGAAATGGTATCTCATATCTCTGGTCACTAATGATGCTGAGATCCTGTTTATGTTTGATGGACATGTTTCCCTCCTCTGTGAGATGCCTGTTCCTATTCTTTGTTTTCTATAGGGCTATTTGTTCTTTTCTCACTTACTTGTAGGAATTCTTTGTATATTCTTGATAGTAATCATTTGCCAGTTATGTTTACTGTGAATACGCCCATTCTATAATTTCCTTTTCACTTTCTTTAAGATTCATTGCCCCACTTGCCAAAGTTCTTAATTTTAATATAGTCAAAGCTATTTTTTCTGTTATAGTCAATGATTTTTGTATCCTGTTTAAGAAACCTGTTCCTTTCTCCAAGGTATAAAAGATACTAGTTTACAACTTCTTTCATGAGTTTTAATTAAAAAAAATAATTAAGTCCTTAATCTATCTAAAATTGACTGTAGTCCATGGTATGAACTCTGAAATAGCATGAACTCTAAAATGTTTTTAACCTTGATCTGTGATTAACAACTTGAGATCCTAGAATAGATTCTGGTTGGCAAAAGCAACATCCATATGAGCATGTTCAAGGCGAGAAGGCCTATAGCTTACATGAGATTCTTAAAGGCTTTATGATTCAAAAAAGGTATAGTATCATTGCTGAGACAGTGGTGCAGCTCCAGTTCCTAAGGATTGTGATGAATTCCAGGGCAGCAACTCAGGACTGCCATCTTCATCTGTTTCTTCTTTATTCTTATTAAAGTCTCCTCCATTCCCACTATGGATCATGTAAGTTTGATTTGACTATCTAGTCAGTTTTTTTTCTTTTAAATAAGTATATGGGAGAAGGGAATAAAAGCAAAAAAATGTTAGCTTTATCTCCTCAGCCAGTAGAGAAACAATGCTTCATTTCCCTCATCTATTCAAAAAGTATTTTAAAATTCCCATTATATCTCTTAGAAACTGCACCTCATTTTTTATGGTCGTTTCTGCATTTTATTTCAATAAAGATATATAACCTTTTATCCCAGTCCAACAATCAAAAGCTAAAAAAGGAAAACATCAAATCAAAATAGTTTCTTGTTTTCTTAGAGCTTATTCCAAATAAACATTTCTATTACTTGTTGGGTAAGCTATAATAATCATAGGTAAACAGTCACACAAAATATTTTGGCAAAATGGCAGCAAAGGTAGCCACTACAGAGCTCTGAAGGCAGAAATACTAAGTAGACAAGTTTCTCAACAGGCTGCAATCAACTAAGGTTGGTTCCTGTCCTCACAAAGCTAATAAAAGGCAATTTCTTCCAGTTAATCAATTACTGTCTGCATGCATAGCCACAGGTTGAATGATGAAGAAAATTTACTCTAAAAACTCTTAAAAGACTAATGACTAACCTATTTGTGTACAACCAATAGCCTGGATTTTGGAATCAACACAAGTTTTTCCTGGCCTGAGGCAACTGCTCCCCACACTGGACCTAGTTAGGACCCTTGTATACTTACTGCATCCTGTAATTTAAAATAAATTATTCATATAATAATTAGTTTAACATTTCTCTCCTCTGCAAGAT